TTTGCTGAAACTTAGCCACAACACGCAGCTCAGGGGTAACTGCTTAAAGTTGAAGGAACAATATAGCCGTCTAGAGTATCGACGGAATTACTTTTCCCTTCGTGTTTGCAAACCATGGAACGCACCCTCAGACTCAGTAGTATCCTCTCCTACCCTGGATGTTTTCAAAAAAACGATTAGATGTTGCTCTCAGTTCCCAACATTTTGTTACCTAAGCTCCTCTGTTGTGGATTACGCCAAGCATGTTTTCAAGCACACATTTCTACAGGATTTATGTGTCAAATGGACCCAAGTGAGCGACCATATTTTACTTTTCTCACATCTTATATCAATGACCATTGCACCCCAGTGTATTTGTGAACGTTTACGCTCAATTATTTTAATTTTACACTGGCTATTAGTTAAAGTATTCATCTCGGTAGACGTTTGGTAGATGACCTACATATATTTGATTTCATCATATTCACCCCAACCATCCTACTGGGCGTGTCAAGCACTTGCATTTATCCCGTGATAAGACATTGTTCATTGTTCATTGCTAATGGCATCGTTGAGCGTTTCCATCGCCAAATTAAAGCCGCAATTACTGCTTTGCAGTCGAACTCACATTAGTCCATCGGCAAGCCCCAGCTTTTTGTCCCTCAGCAGTACCGCCGAATCCCCTTTGACCACCTGCATGGAATCTCACACCCGAGCATCCGAGCCACCGTCAAGCTGATTACTGATCGCTTCATTTGGCACAACATGCGCTCCGGGATCCAGCAGTGGGCCAAACACTGCATCATTAACCAAACCAGCAAGATCCACCGTCACACGATTACCATCCCCGGCACGTTTGCTCTTTCCGACGCTCGTTTCAAACATGTTATTCTTGACATCGTTAGACCCTTGCCTCCATCCAACGGTTATGTCTACTTATTGACATGTGTTGATCGTTATACGCCTTGGCCACTTGCCGTGCATTTACGTGATGCTTCTACAGAAACTGTGGCGCGAACATTCATTGAGGATTGCATTTCCGTCTTTGGCACGCCAGCCACTATTACTACCGATAGAAGGCCCAAATTCAATTCGGCCTTGTTTCGTGACATGAACCGCTTGCTCGGTTGTTCACACCTACGGACAACCGCCTATCACCCAGCTGCTAATGGCATCGTTGAACGTTTCCATCGCCAACTTAAAGCTGCACTTACTGCTTCACAGTCGAACTCACAATGGTCAGAACGTCTGCTGATTATCTTGCTTGGTATCCGTAACACCATTAAAGAAGACATTGGCTGTTGTTCCGCTGAGTTGGTCTTTGGCACTACTCTGACTTCCTGGACAAATGGTGCTAGACTCAAGAGTTACTGGAGAAGGTGATCCGACCTTGTACGTCACACGCCTGAGGCAACACTTCAGTTCAATTCGTCCAACACCATCTCGAATCAGTCCTCGGAGTCAACAGGTACACCCGGATTTACGCACTTTCCCCTTCGTTCTCGTATGGGTCGATTCCGTCCGTGGACCTCTGACACCGTCTTACGAGGGTCCCTTCAAGGTTGTTGCCCGGGAAGAGAAGTACTTCGTGCTGGATAGAAATAGTTATCAGGATACTGTGAGTATTTACCGCTTGAAGTCGGCTTACATCGAGACGCGGCCACTACCGAAACCCACGGACATTCCTGTCACCGACCAGCCCACCTTCCTAAGTACGCCCCCTACTCAGCCCATGTGTGACACCTCTGTTCCCTCTTCTGCACCTCAAACATCTCACGACACAAACACGAAATCGCATCACGAACACGTTTCGGACGTACAGTTCTTCTCCCTTCCAGATTACGATAAATGACACACAAGCATTGACCATTCGTCTCAGTGACTCACGCTCCAGTGAGGAGTTTTGTACCGATTGTACATATCTCTCTTCCTAATTGTACCTTCCCATTCTCATTATTCATTGTACATTTTGTTTTAACTGACCAACAACAGATAAAAGCTTTTTCGAGTTTCTATTCGCCTTCTGGTTTTGTCTACGGGTGTTTTGCTGTTGATCGTCATCGGTATGCTAGCCTCGTTCATCGATCATCGGATCTAACGCATCAAATTATTTTGCCGACTAACTTTCGTCTTCCGACCGGATTGTGTGACTAACTGACAGCCTACCGAGGATCGTGTTTTACCAAAGGTCAGGTCTTGCGTTCTTACTTTATAGGCTGGGAGTTCATTTATGTGATTTGGCGTTTCCACTAAATATTTGGTGACTCCGTTTTCTTCTTTTTGTAAGCTCAGTACCCCAATTTTTGTACCTTTACTATGTCGGACGACGTTTCTCGCACTGACAATTCAAAAAATTTTGTTGGTCTCTCCCTGCATGCCCTGGAAGATGACGGGGGGCAGAATTAATACCAAAAGACCAATGTGCATGTTGGAAAATTCTAATATGTGTGGTAACAATAGTAAACTACCTGGAAGGCTCGTCGATTTCAATCCCACGATGGTCATGAGGCCGGTAATCATGAGTCGAAACAGTAGCGGTTCATTCGTGAAACACTTTTCTTGAACAATGTTATAACGCGACCGTTCAAAAGGCTATCTCTCTCACCAAATTATAGAGGAAGCGGATCAAGAATCCCAAAACTCCTAGTTCCTTCAGATCAGACAACAACGGAAGTGTTAGAACCTTGGTGAAGACGTCATAAAAACCTTCCACCTAAACTTCGGCTAAAAGCTGCTGAATCCTTACGAAGACAAGACATGAGCCTACCTGAAAAAGCAATCCTACCATCGATCACTCAGTAGCATCACTCTACGCTGCGTCAAACTTTTCTGCAGTATGTCCGGACGAGGAATGAGACGTACCTTGGGCAGATCAGGTTGCGAACGACGTGTCAGCATCATCCCATCAAAAGACAAATAACCGCTGACCTCCCACCGGTCGGCATTCCACCACACTTGACTACTTTGGCTCCCTGTGAAATCCCAGAGACCTAGAAACTATCCTACCTTTATACAAACGCTCAAGACCTTCGCACTAAGCTGGCCGAAATAAAGGATCGCCAAATTTCGAAGCCATGCGATACTATCGATGTCACGGAGACGTGGTTGCACACTGGAATGACAGATGCTGAAATCTAGCTACCGGACATGTTACTCAAACGAAACGACAGGCTTACGAAAGTAGGAGGGGTAACTCCGTATTACTGAAGCGCCCTACAGTGCGAGGCCGTTGAGGATTCAGACTTACAGTTCGCCGATTCACTTTGGTGTGGCGTACAATTACATGGCAGGGGCACCTGCATGATAGCTTTGGTATATCGCCCCCCAAACTCTACACCGGAAATGGACTACTAACTTACAACAGCTTTGAGATGCAGCCTAAAGCGAAAACACACTACTCACTACTCATTAGTACTTACATTTTTATCACGATTGATTTCAATGCATACAGTTTTGAAACCGCTACAATCAGACAGCCATTCAAAGCAGATCTGTAAGAGCTTATAACCAGTGTCTCACGTTACAATCACGTCATTACGGCCACTCATTTCAGAACAAGTGATATACCTTCTTTGTTGGATCTTCTTTTTACCAACGAAGAACATATGATTGCTGTATTGATCGTAGAATGCCCTTTTGGTCGTGTCGATTATGCACACATCAGTTTCTACTTCATCTGCTATGCGGAATATCGCAACCAGAACCCTGATTTGGTGAGCACCATTACGAGCTACGAGCGCTTACCCCAACTCGTCAGTGCCATAACCTGGTCCTTCCTCGCTGAAGACTATCCGGAAGTCATTTGGTTTGAATTCGTCAGTAAATTTAATCAACTGGTTACGGATGCCTCAGAGACAAGGGATTTTAATGGACCGAAAACCGTTTCTTCCGGGAGGAGCAGAACTAGAAAATGGATGACTATACGCAACGCAGCCTGGCGAGAGTACAGAACACTACCAACGCCAGATAATTGGGACAACTACATAGCCCATCGTAACCAGTGCACTAAACTGCTCAGAGATGACAAAGTCGCATTTCAGCAGAATATGGCGAAAACTTTCAGCGTTAACCACAAACTGCTGTACAAGTATATCCATGGTCGTCGTAAGGTGAAGAAGGATTTTCCTCCTCTCCGGACGACTGATGTTTCAGTTAGAACAGCCATAGAAGCAGCAAATGCGTTGCGGACGCAATATGCTCCCACATTTCAGAAGGTCTTACAATCTGGCCATCTTCCAACTTTTGTTTTCCCGCCTCCAGGACTCACCACATCTCTTACTGCCGAAGCCGTTTTACGGAAGTTGACGTCTCTGCGCAACCACAGTTCCCAGGGAGTCGGCACCATTCACCCAGAAGCACTGGGAGAAACAGCAAGACAACTGGAAAAAGGGCTGGCACAGTTCTTCCAGCACTGTTTCAACCAGAACCAAATTCCTGCGACATAGAAACGGAATAATAACTCAGATTCATAAAGGCGGAAGCAGCACTGAGCCATCAAACTACCGCCCAATGTCCCATCTCCCAGTATTAGCCAAGGTCATGGAATCAATGGTGGCTGTCCAGACTTGGTTCTGAGCTTTGGTGGGCTACTCGACAAATCCCTCCATAGCATCCGTGGGGAGCACTGCATTGCTATTAGCTTGGGATGGTTGCCCAGCCGTGAGGTTTCCGTCTCTACCGATCTCATACAGCTGAGTGACCGGGTCAAAAGTAGTAAACTTGTGCATGTGGACTTTAGTACGACAGCCGTTTAAATCATCTGACGTTACTGTAATCGTGAATCGTAGCAAATAATTTCAATTGTGATGGCTCACTGTATAGAACTACTAGATGTGGTTCTAATGATCGTACGATGAGTACGCCGCGAGAACGTGGGCAGAAGTAAATCAGTGAGAGGGCTGAGCGCGAGAACTACGCGTCTGTTAATCGCGACGTTGGTCAACTGAATCCAATCCAGGTTAGTCACAAGAGAAGCATTGGAATTCACTATATCAATCCTCATTTTCTTTTCCCTCTGACAGGTGGCTTCAGCACTATTTGTCTTCGAACGGACGCCTTTGATTTATGTAGACAAGAACTCTCGGGAATCGAACGATGGGACTGATTGTTTCAATCTCACAGACTCATTGTTGCGCGTCTTACTGGGGCTACTATTGCAGCGTAAGTCGCTGAAAAGTCCTTAATTTCCTTCTTGTTGACGCAGCAACGGCCTCTAGGTGTTTAACTTTTCTTTGAGCTGAGGGAATTTACCACATCCGTTTCTTTACCAGGCTAGTCAACAACACCAGTGTGACTTCCAGGGATGTTGCCAAGTCTGGTCACGAAACACCTTCAGCCAACTTACCCAGATCGTTGAATAACCCAGCCCACTTATCCACATTTCTATCTAGGGGTGGTAAAAGTTCTTTCAGGAGAGTAGCTTGGAAATTAACATATTAAAGATGGGCAGCGTGCATCAGAAGACCATCAATCTACAGTGGTACTCTGCGTGGAGGTTTCAACATTCAGGGGGCACTATTTTCATTGACTACTGGAGCCCGCGACCGTTATCTTAAGGGCCACCGACATAGACACTGAAGCACGCGCGACGACAGCGGCAGATTTGACTGTAACGTGTGATGACGCACCGCGGATCACGCATTACTTAATCGCACCTAACTGTTTTCATCCTTTCGTTTTCCTACATGAGTAGACAAGTCTTCATAAGTAGTCGCTCAAGTCATGGTCACGATACCCCGTTTCATAAATGCATTAAGGCACAGTAAGCGAACAGACTAAACATGGATTAAGTTTTACTGAAGCGACACAGAAAAGTTGAAAAGTTGATGGATCGATTGCGCAATAATATACTTGTAAGCATGAAACTAACAGTGAAATCAGTTTTAACATTCATTCGGCTCACTTAAGGTCCAAAGCGATGAGCGGAATACCGTTACAAGCCACAACTAGTGATGTCGTTACCTATATTTGCAAAACTAGAGTGGATAGACGATTTCCCCATGTTGCATTTCGAGGAAAATCAGTGGCCTGTTAAATTCAGAATTCTATGCACCGAATAAACGGATTTTGAAAAAAAACAAATCACACTTTTCAACAAAACAGCTAGGTGCTTAGCGTTTTAATTGAATGTGGACGAATCGGAAAGCACAGCAATCTAATATAACCTAAGGTACCCTGATGAGTTCGATTATTTGTCTACTTGCCTCGAGTCACACAGTAACCTTTTGACACCTTACTCCGAAGTTGCTCATATCTGGACTTAACGGAAAGTAACAAAGTAAAGTTCGGTCCTGTACACCGTTCTTGTGTGTCCATAGGTACTTACTTCTTTGGAAACTGCTCCAATATTGAAATTCCTACGAGCTGGCTTATGTACGTCAAGAAAGCTTAACCAATGGAATAGAGCTTTTAAAAATCCATAGCTGGATCAGATGCGTTCAATAGTAGATACTTCCGTGGACTTTGGTAGATGTAGTAAGGCTTCATACGATTCATACTCTGTCAACATTTGGGACACACTTTGGTTATTTATGAGTAGGAGGATTTTAGTTATAATTTTAAGGTATTTTGGTATTGACTACTGTGCAAGAAGGGTAAAACCGAAAGAGTGTATCTGATTTCAACCATCCTATTTGGATAACCCAAAAGCCTAGTAACCATGTAACTCAATGTTGTTTACTACCCCTCTCAATCCCCGATCTATATGATCATTGTTCTTCCCCCCCCCTGTCCATGCACCAGCATATCCCAAGTTTCCACGCGCATGGGCTGGAACGGTCTTGCTTCTGTTCTGGTACGCTTTTTGCCTGATTGTTGTAATCGCGTACGCACTTGGCACCTCCAAACTGATTTTCCAAACTCCAGCCGAAGTCGACGAGTATTCCACAACTCTGTATCTATCCCCGAACAGCAATGTGTTATGTGAACGCAACAGTCCTTGGTGTGATATCCTCAAAGCTAATTCTGGCCTTCATGTGACGGAATTGCGATTACCGAGAGATGCTTCTGGCCAACTTAGTGTTCCAGAATTAAATCTATCATTTGCTTTGATAACCGATCAACTAACAGCTTCATCACTTGAAAACCGCTGTCACAATGACGCCCAAAACAACTGTTCTGGACAGACTCAGTGGTTTCCTGCGCAATTTGATTGTTCTGCTGAATTCAAGGCGATGTACATACCATCTCTATCCTTGGGTTTTGTAACCTCAATCCCAGAGGCGGCTTGGAGGATAAGTCAACATATGCAGGTGGGTTTCAACTGGTTGCAGCCTCAGAACTTAACTTCTATGCTCTTGGAATCTACTTGGAACCGATCAAAAAGTGAAGGTTTCAGAGAGATTTGTGATCCATCGTTTAATGCAATTATCTGGCAAGGAGATAACACCCAGAGTCCACGTAGTGAAACGTCTGAATGTTACAACTACTCCCTCCAAGAGAAGCATTCCATGCATCTAAACCATTGCTAAAACAGCGGATTTATTTAACAGTCGGGTCATTAAATTGGATCAACTCCAATGCAAATCGACTAAATCTGTATCCGAAGACCGCAATAACGCAGCTAAACAACTTTCCAAGAATGTTTCCGAAGTTAAATCTAAACGTGGATAGGGTCCTAAGGAAGTACAGTTTCGTGCGTTCGACTATCTAGTGTCAATGACTGTGATGTTGTTTATATCTCAGACAGAATTTAAATGAAAAGGATATGGCTTTGACTAGCAGCATACCTAAGGTATGCGCAGAGTAGGTGATTCATAGCAAGGTGAAGGCGAAGAATACTCGTACACAACTAGTGAACATCATCAGACTTCAGCAATCGGGGAGAAGTAACTTTACACTAAGTCACGCTGAACGCCTTAAAGGAATATCATAGTATCGTAATCATAAATACAAATAATGCAGAAGAAGCAGTGCTAATGAATAAATCAAATTACTTGGAAAATATGAAACGACATTTAATGAACGGGGTATATACTAGGTTACTTGGGATAGAATTCTAACGATGATGATGACAAGAATAAAACAGGTTGACTAATATCTGAGAGCAGTAAATGACGAGATCGAGGTAGACTAATGGTATATTTCCTACCCAAAATCGGCTCTACCTCCGATGATTTACGGGATAGCAATAATATATAGACCTGAGTTACCATATGACCTATAGTCCCACTCAAGTACTCGCAAGTTATTTGAAGGGATTATTGCAGTTCCTGTGGGGAGGAACGTGTGCGTTCGTGAAGAGCTTGTGACAGTTTGTCCACAAGATAATCTTGCTCACAATCGAGCCGGATGTGATATGGTAAGCTTTGATATGGTTATTTATTAATGTACCGATAGATCATGCGCTGCGGTTAGCACGACACTGTCTAAACGAGGACAGTCCAATGGGTGAGGGAACAACGCTTTCAGTTGATCAAATATGATGGGCATGATAGCTTGCCTTAGTATGTCGCATTCCATTTTCCAGCTGAGGACACGCACCTGAGAACAAGGCCTGGCCACGGGATCGCCAATATCCTCTTTAACGGTGAGCTGGTACATGGTGAAGTTCCAGAATTAGGCGCTAGTAAACCCCGCTAACACATCGAACTTTTGGTGGCGCAACGTAGACGAAAGTTGAGATTACGAAAAAAGCCACGAAGGAATACAAACTAAACCACTTAACATCCAGTGACTAGCAAATAAACTTTACTGTGCAGTTGGAGCCCGCAGTGCTACAATACCATTCCTTAGATGCCCACTTCCTAAAAATGGATGAAATGGAGCAGCAACAACAACAACCCACCATAAACCCACGGATACCGATGGGATACTCCAATATACCTTCGGTCGCCGCAAAAACACTTTTGCACTTGGATTGTATCAGCGCTGCTACCCAGCGCACAGACCTTGTGCACGGAAATGTGATGTGAACGTACCAGACAGTGGTTATCAGGGACTTTTAGTGAAACGCCAGCTAAGAAAGTATTGAACAAGCAGAGAAGGTCCGCAACCCAGTGAATGGGCACGGTAGCCAAGCTTTACGCAGGTGCATTTGCAAAAAACCATTTCCACAGATAGGACAAGTTACTCTGTGTGAAACTTCAACTGTAAAGACTGTAAACGTACGTATATTGGCTAACCAGCCCGAACTCTACAAACACACATCTCAGAACATAATTGACGTCTTTTGAGACAGCTGTGGGATGAATTTGAATAGAGCGCAGTTAGTATTATCAGTAGTGGTGCATCTGCCGGACACCGGAGATCAGATCGATTCGGGGGATGCTGAGATCAACAAGAGTTTGTAAGCGACACACCAGGTTCTTGCAAGGTACTTGGTACCCATCAAGTAGTCATAAGTTCAGAGAGTTTTGGTAAAAATCGGTTGGTATAGTTGTATGGTAACGTTTCGCTCTTGACACAAGAGCTTCCTCAGATCAGGTCAATCAGTGTGCAGTTGGAGTGGCATTTTAGAGCGATAGCTGCTAGATATTTGGCTAAGGTTTTGTAGCCTCTAACAGGGCGAACGAGTACCTTCGTGAAAAATCTTATGAGTTCGTTAAATAGATGGCAAGTTTCGAACTCGAATCAGATGAGTTGATGACAAACTTCAAGGTGACATCACTTGTCACCATTGGACCCAAAGGAGAGGCGCTAGGAATAACAAAACGTTGTCTGCATGTGGATGTCTCTCTGAGTGATCTATTGAAACATACGGTTAACCAGCTAATCGAAGGATTGACAGTGTGTCTTAACATGTCTTACTTCGTTTTTCAGTCGAAGCTGTACTGTCAAGAACAAGGTCCCTCTATAAGATCGCCAATATCCCCTGTACTGGCGAGTTTGTATCTTGAAGACTTCGATAACAGGACGTTAACAACCACCATTAACTCACCAACAGTTTGGTGGCGCTAAGTGGACGACATCTTTGTACTTGATAAACGGGATAAGAAGGACGAGTTTCTTGATCACTTAAACTTCATTGATGAGAGGATACGGTTTACCATTTAGTTGGAATCTTGTAGTGATACAATACCAGTTATTGACTGCCTGGTTCACAGGAATGGGGGGAATTTAAAGGCGACCATACATCGAAAGCCGACAGATATTGACAGCGTACTCCACAACACTTCGGATCATCCGAAAAAGGTTTACGCTGGGATAGCCTCAGCGCTGTTCTACAGGGCACAAACCTTGTGCACGATGGACGAGGACAAAAAGGCTGCACGGAAAGTGCCAATGATCAAACTATTCGAAAGTGGTTAATCATGGCGGCTAGTCAAATGCTAGTTAAATGAAATGCTAAAAGGACAGACGAAACCCACAACAGAGTGGATACTTACGGTAGGAATTCCGTACAAGGAAGCCACTTCGGAGGCAATTCGGAGGGTACTAAACAAGCAAAATATCAGGGTGATCATGCAACGAAGTCAAACGCTAGGATCTATCATGGTGCACCTGAAGGACCCCGTTCACAAGGATAGGACGACTGACTGTGTTTGTAAAATTATATGTAATGGCTGCACATATGTGTACATAGGCCAAACAGCGTGAGAGTTAGGCACACGAATTTCAGAGCACAAGAGGCGCATTTAAAGACCGCCGTTAAATGCGTTTGAATACCAGGCAAATTTAAGAGACTCGGCCGTGGCTGTACATGCATTAGACACGTGTCACCAGAACGAGTTGGATAACGTAGAGGACATTAAGAGGAGTATAGGTATATAAGAGGAGTTAGAAATTACCAAATCTGAGAGCTGGGTGAATAGAATGGAGGGGGTGGAACTCTCTAGTGTGTACCGAGCAATCTTAAACCGGCCAGCTTGACGAGCGTCGGTGTGTGGGTCAGATTGAAAAGTGCAACTCTACTCCCATTGTCACCAGTTTGGGCTTCTTCATCAATGGCATGACGCACAAAAGAACACCTGGACTATTCCCCCTGTGTTTGAACCACCTGAGGTGACATCACGAGCTGTGACTGCAATGACAACTTGGCTCAAGTCTCGGGAAATGCAGTCATCATCCCTGTTCGCTATAAGATGCCACTCCAACTGCACACTGATTCACCCGGTCTGACAAAGATATTGTGTCAAGAGCGCAACGTTGCCAAGCAACTATAGCAACCAATTGTTACCAAACCATTGTAATGAGACTGGACCTTAAGGTGGTGCGATCGTTTGTGTGCCTTAGTGATCCATTGAGCTATGCTGGGTGGTGCTTTTTTGCACCTTCAGAGCCACTCATACCAGATTGGTCAATGGTTAGAGGCCAGACAAACTCAGTCTCCTGGCCCTCCAGTTTGGCCTTTGGAGTGAGGCTGGCTCCTTACTACATAAAACGAGCTGTCTGTAGTCCAGTACCAAAACCTCGCTGTCTTGCGGTAAGGTTTTTGAACCAAAGGCTTTGGTTGAGAACTCTAATCGTTCTCCTGTCCAGACCTGAGCAACTGGACAGTATTCTGCCCACGCAAGGGAATGAACCTTTCTTCTAACCATTTCTTGACGCTCTGGCTGTCACAGTGGATAATAAACTGCGCCCTATCTGTAGCATTGAGTAGGGTAGATAGTAGTTTTGATGCTACTGCTAAGGCCTTCCCCTCTTTTTATTCCCTTCCTGCGTATTTTCATCCTTATTGTCCCTCTAACTTTACTTTTCTCCCCCACATTTCCAACCCCCCAATTCTTGGCCCTTGCGCACCTTGGTTTGATAGGCTTTTACTTTTTAGTTTTAACTTACACGCAGTCGCATGGCCTCGCTCCAATCCAGTCGACAAGTCCATGTTCAACCAAGCGGACAACGTCAGTTCATCTGTTTCATCTTGTATTCTTCGAGTCTCGTTAAGAATGACATGCCTAAACATGCGCACTTTGCTACAGATTGGCCAACAGGCAGCACTTGCCCGCACACTAGAGACCCTATCGATCGATATTTGCTGTTTATCAGCAACCCGCCTGTAAGCTTCAAGCTCCGCGCTTACCCTGCGATCCCCCCCATGCGACACTGGCGGCACATTCTCATTGCGCCTGTCTGGCGATGATGCAGCTTCAAATGCCGGTCAAGCTGGCGTCGACATTATTTTGAGTCCCCGAGCTGAAGCTGCCCTGATCGACTGGATCCCAGTCAACAGTCGGATGTGCGCCGTTTGATTATCTGGTTCGTTCTATGCTACGAAGTTTTGCGGGAACAAACGGTACCTGTTTGTCATTGCGGCCTACGCCCCTACAAACTCCAGCACTGATTCAGTGAAAGATGGTTTCTTGCAGAAACTTCACGATCTCCTTCGTTACAGAAGAAGCACTGATACTGTGGCTGACGATCTAAACGCCTAAGTCAGAAAATCGTCCTCTGATGAGCTACTTCTGGGTGGCCAACATGGTGTAGGCTCCCGTAATGATAATGGTGAGCGGTTGCTGCAGCTGTGTGAAGATGCTCGTCTCTTTCTCGCAAGCGTTAAGTTTCGACACTGCACCCGCAGAAGCGTGACTTAGCGCCCACCAGCCTCGGGGCAGCCATGGACGCAAATCGATCATATCACAATCGGTTACCGCTAGAGAGGCTGTGCCCAAAACTGTCGCACGATTTTGAGCGCGAGCATAGACGCTGATCAAGCACTTGTTTGCGCCCACCTGCGGGTGAGTTGCGGTGGACTTCCGCAACGTCGATATGAACGGATTGACACCAGCCAGCTGGCGAATCCAGGTGTTCTGAATGTTTATCAAAGTGCGCTGACATCCGGGCTGAGTAAGCGCCCACTAAACACCGTCAAAGATCACTGGTCGCATATTCGTCAAACGTTAGTATCAGCAGGCATGTGTTCATCTGGCAAATCAAATTGCAAACCTATGCACTGGGTCTTTACACAGTCTCTGAAACTTATGGATGCTGGCCGACGTATTCCGGCTGGAAGCGAATACAATGAAGCTCGCAAAAACTTCAGGGCAAAACCGTGTGCTAGCCTTAAGAAAGACCGCGAAGCCTGGTTGTCTCATCGTGCCTCCGAGATACAAACAGCCGCTACCGTTGGTAATCATTGTAAGTTATTCCGTCTGAAAAGGGGAAACGAACAGCAGGAGACCTGATGTAAGCGAGATCATACGCGACGAGAGTGGGCAGCCGATCCACAGCCTGTCAAAACGCTTGGAGCTTTGGGCTGAACACTTTGCTAGGCAATTTAACCAACCTGAGTTATCGCTTCCTTTTTTAGGCATTGAGCGCCCTTCCTCTAGGCCGTCAGCTTGAATCCACTCTCACGCGCAGAAGTCGAACGTGAGATCAGGCTGTTGAAATTGCATAACGCCACATGGACAGATAGAATTCCCCCAGTCCTCTTCGATTTCGGGGGACCTGCTGTTATAGATGATTTACTCAAGTTGCTATTGTAACCTTGAGAGCAGGAGGCTGTCCCGACAGACTGGAGTCGCTCTGTCATTGTCACGATTTTCAAGGAAGGCTTCCGTTCGGAATGCGGCAATCATGGAGGTATCAGTCTGAACTCAATTGCCTCTAGATTGCTTGTGTCTGTCGTTATCCACAGACTGACTGGCCCACGTGAAAGCCAGATTCGTGAAGAGCAAGCCGGGTTTCCTCGAGGTCGTGGCTGCATAGACCACATCTTCCCCTTGCATCAATTGTCGGAGCACCACCATGTTTACTGGCAACCCACCGTTGCCGCGTTTCTTGACTCAGTCGATCGATGCGCCCTTTGGGACTGTCTGCTGAGGAAATGTGTGCCTGATAAATACGTAAACATTATCAAAGCGCTGTACGCACATACTTCAGGGAGAGTGAGGGTTTATGGCAAATTGTCGCTACCCTTCAATATTACCAGCGGTGCGTGCGAAGGTTGCCCGCTGTCACCTTTCCTATTTAACTTCGCAGTTAATAAGTCATGACAGCAGCATGCGCTGGACACAACCTAGAAGGTGTAGAGCTACTTCCTGGTGAGTGACTTCTTGATTTGGAGTATAAGCACGATAGTGCCCTAATCTGTGACGGAGCTCAAACGTGTCAGGCAGCACTGGACCGATTACCACTGGCTGTCAATAGTTTTGGGCTATGCTTTGCTCCATCGAAATGCAAAGTGCTTCTCCAAGATTAGAATGGATCCACCCTTGCGCTAATGCACTGTGGGGAAAAGCTAGAAGTCGTTCAAGCATTCAAGCACCTAGGCAGCTATATTAGCGCCCGTGGGATCGAAGGTGAGGTTACGAACCGTATAGCAAATACTCGAGATGCTTTTGCCAATCTCCGTCACCTGTGGCCCAGACGCGACATTACTGTCGCCCTGAAGAGCAGAATTTATAACTCAGCCGTCCGTTCAACCCTCCTATAAGGTGGTGAAGCTTGGCCCCTCAGGTCGACAGACATCAAGAGGCTCGTCACATTCAATCATTGCTGCTCTCGCAACTTGCCTCATGTCTGGTGGGAGCACCGCGTGAGCAATGAGCGTGTTCGGCGTCGCATATTTGGTGCAGGAAGAGCGAGTGAACCGCTCAGCACTATTATATCACGCACCAGGCTCCGATGGCTGGGCCATGTGTTGCGCATGCCAGCACGCCGACCCCCGTGAAGTGCGTTATTTGCGCGTTGTGGGTGCGGTTGGAAGAGGAGGAGGGGAGGCCAAGCGCCATGGTCGAGAGGAATGAAAACCCTCACTTCGAAGTTGGCTTCGGTTGGTGCATTTTAACTGTCTGCCGGGGGTCCTAAGGACGCTGAACACGATTGGTTGGACCCGCTTGCTGATATGGCTAGCAGCCGGCCACAATGGCGTTTGTGTTGTGCGTTTCTTTGTCCATCCCCCTCCCTTTTGGTTCCTCTCCAATCCCGATTTCCTGCAATACGCATAATATAATATGTAACATCATAATTTTTGTAGTGTACGTTGTGTAATTTGAAGTGTCACTTTTAGGATGTTATCATTTTGTATTACAACACAGCTGTGGTGTGTTTCTCACCCTCAGCTAACGTGTACTTTTGATGATGATGATGAAACCTCTCTGAACTCAAAATACCCCAGAGATTAATTGCTCAGGAGACCGAAATTATCAAAGTCACTATGTACTGACTGGAGCTTTCGGCTGCGTATCGAGCAACCCTAATCCTGTTAGTCTGACTAGCGCCGACGTGTGCGTCAGTTTGGAGAGCGAAGACCGGTATCATCATTGTCGTTTCCAAGACCGCAATGGGCAACGTGATGGATGGTGAAACACTGGGACGGTCTCAGTCTGACTGGACCTCTTGAAATGACTGCTCCACCTGTGTCCATAAGAGTTGTTGATTTGTGTCTTAATCGTCATGATCGCCACTTCCGTTCGCCATCAACTGCCACACAAACCAGGCACCAATTTACATGGTCTGACGAAGATTTTGTGCAACAAGGGAAAAGTCGTCAAACCATTACATCAACCGATTGTTCTCAGTTGTCTCTTAAAAATGTTAGGCTATGCGGTACTTTTGTTAATTAGTCTACACGAGTTGATAAATTACCTCGGTATGCTGCTTCTATTAAGATGGAGTGCAATGGGATCAATGGTTATAATAGCCAAAGCTTAGCTGTCACTTGCTGCTGTACAAAAGGACGCCTATCTATTAGAGGCCCTAAGCCTGACACGTTGACCACATGAACTTTACAGTTGCACAGCCGTATCAACCAGTGCATCTAATCGCCGACTATACGGGGTGCGGTTGAAAACACACGTAGAAGCGATATTTGGAAAAAAGCATTTTAACATTTCGTGGTCCTGAACTTAAGCTAAAAGTAGTGCTTTTGTTGCGCCAACTTTAATTTCAAAGATTTAATAGCATCGTCGATTTGAGCGAAGCTGAGTGCTGATCATAACATATGGTCCCTCTGTCGTGTAGCCCTCAGGAAGCGAGAAGACTGGGCTGCGAGCACGAAGTCCGTTATTAAGATTACGCTCGAATATTTAGAGTATGCGCACTATTTACAACAGTCCGTCTCAATGACTCATCCCCGTTATTTGCATTGTGTCGCTGGCTCTCTTTCCATTGGTTTATGCTTGCTTGCCACGTTCACTCTGTCTAAAATCACATTGTCTTTCTTACTAGTAGATGCACGATTTGCGGGATTGGGCCCACGCACTGCTTCTCTCGGTCCAATGCCACAAGCATTGGCTCAAGGGTGCACGAGTATGCGCTCCTTCGCCTGCTGGCGCCTGATTGGTCATTTACACGTTCAGTGGATAGTTTCAGGGTGGACGCGAGTACGGGCCAACTATTTCCTAATTGGCTGACCAATCTGCTTCCGGCAACACGCTCACTTCTTATCGGTCTGGCCTGTGACGTTCGATCGGCATTACAGCATTTCCAGCCCCCATCACACGCTCACTTATCATTTGCATAAAGACGGTAAAAACCTACTGCATACCTCTCGCGAGAACCGTTATCTGTTGCGCAAAACTTTACGGAACCCCCTCGCCTCGCATCCTGTCAGGTAACTGAGTGGTTTGAAGTGTACGGCTGCATTCGATGTGCAAATGTCGCGGAAGATTGGTTGGATTGGTGAGAGGTTCTCTCACCGAGGCTCCTCTACGCTCCTCTTTGCTGTTGCATGCCATTCAACTACGCACTGATAATGTCAGCTCGATTGGTGACGAAACCTTTGCAACAAAACTGCCAAGCTCAGCGAACAGTTCAACCGCCATCCGAACAACCAGAGCTACCCGTCTTCAATGCTATAGAAGGTAAATAACATATCCAGACGTCTCTTCGTTGTGTGGTCTCGGGCGCAGCAACAGCATTCTTCAGACCAGGATGCTGAAATTGGATACTATATACCACCTAGAGTAGCACGCTTGCGTTTCGTGTTTATGGCATGCTAGTGGGATAAAACCGACCGGAGCTCTGAACGATAGCACGGCATATAGAGATCGCCGATTTTCGACACCTCGGATTGTTCTGAGTAAGCGAAGTCATGCTGATCCAGCATTCCAAGGTGACATATGTTCGCAGCCAGAGTCCACTAATAGAAAAGAATAAACTGTTGATGAATCGCAGGATTTGTAAATGCATGGTAATGAGGGACTTGGCTTGGCGCGCCCACATGAATTTTCCGAGCGGCGATGCCTGCGCCGTCTATGCAACACAAAAGAACCACTGTGTCAACCTTGTCCGGAAAGATAGAGTGAAGTATAAACATAACCATGTGATAAGAAATTATTTTAACTCTACTCTACTTTACAGACATGTGGACAAACTTTTTGGAGTCAAGTAGGCAATTCCTGCTCTGAAAAGAGCATGGGAGCTAGCGCATTCTACACAACAGAGTGGAGCGGCTTTCTCGGACAACAATATAGCCGTACTTTCCAAATCCTACAATTATCATACGTCCTACCTACGCAGATCACATCGCCACCACTACTTGATAGGCTTAACCACATGTTAGTTGCAACCACAGAGATAATGAAGCGTCTCATGTACTTGCACGTGTACAGCTACTCTGGTGCACAAGACATTCGCACGATGTCACTGAAAGTGGCTTCCAAGAGATTAAAAGAGCCGTTGGAATTATTCCTTCAACGATAGCTTAACGAAATGCAGGTCACACAGTATGGATGCAGGGGATTAACAATCTTATCTAGCAAGGTGACAGACGTGCGGAACAAGCGATCTCCAAGGTGGTCTCCAAGGTTATGGAGTCCATTATCGATGAGGCATCCTTAAGGTATATGATAATTAGTCAGATTCTCTCCGAAACAGCATAGATTCCGTCAGAATCGGTCTTGTACTACTTACCAACTGACAGCTCGTATATGCTAAACGAATTCTGTCCATGCTTGTGTAAGAGTAGACTTCACTATCTTGATTCCTCAAAGGCAATCAAATGGCTAGAACAACCCATTCTAATTCACAAGCTTCAGCATTAGATAATCAGCGATCCCGTTCTGGGCTGCATAAGCAACCTTTTCGTTCAACATAATCTGGAGATGATAGTTCACGGCACCCAATCTGAATCAATCGCAGCCCAGTACATCTCACCTCAAGGCTCGGTACCCTGACCATGACTTTTCAGGGATTTAATCCATTACCTCACCGGTGTGCTTTCTTCAAATATCCAAATAGCCACTGATGTGTTAAAGACATGACACGCTATCATAACATTGGAGGAACACACAGTCCTACAAGTGCAGCTGGATACAGCTAACGCACGATCGATCGAGAACATGATGTAGTTCAACGCCTCCAAGTGCAAAGTTATGAGTATGCACCAGTTGAGTACTCAAGGCTACCGGCTAAGATCGTAAATGCTACAACGTGCTCCTCTCGAGTGTGACACCGACGTCCTCGTGCAGGATGACCTTGGCTGTTTCAGGCAGACTGAAAAAGATACAAAGCATGTTAATCAGCACCTCAGCCTTCTGCTAAGGCATTCGGGATGTTCGACGCCAAAGTCTATCCGAAAATGTTTGGCATGTACATGAGGCCACATGCAGAATAGGCTGTCCAAGCGTGAAAACCCTCACCCCGCTCAATATTACATAACGCGGGGCGACAAGGAGCATGAAACGTTCCTCCCACCTTCCTTACCAACTCAGGCTGAAGAACATTCAAGATGTAAGACGGGCGATATCGGTGTTTACAGGACGATCTCACAATGATGTATTAGAACCCATGAAACCCAAACCATACTTATACTACATAATAATAACAATAATAGTAGTAATACTAGATATATTTCTCATGGAATGAGAAATTGTGTTCATATTTGGAATAGCTCATATTTTACTATGTCATCCTCATACATGAACGGTAAATAGTTGTGTGCTTTGCATTGTCTTGGCTGTTTCAACGGTATGTATTCACTCACTGGTGCGTTTCGACGCTAGCTGCACTAGTTGGCTTAGGGGCTAGTAACCGCAATAAGGGTGTACCATGCCGAACGAATTTTGTTCGTTTATTTGTTTCAGCCATCAGATGTTGTCTGGCTTTTCTTGGGACAAATCATCAAGTGCTCTCTCCCAGGAGAACTGGGTCGTAATCGTTTTTAAGTCTTGGTAATTGGCAAGATTAACGCGAAATGCCGTTGCGCTCTCACGCGATCTGATTGTGACTGGGGGCTTTTTCCACAGGACAGCATATCTGATAAGGAAAAATTTGGACCGCAGATTTATCCTGCACCTGGGTATACTCAGGGTAAACTCCTTATGCGTAACGCTCTTGTCATACTATGCTGCAGTTCTAGGGAAGGTAAATAGCAGAGGGCGTTTTGATGTATCATGTTGTACAGAAGCGTCAGATTATACCTCAATCTTCGTAGCCAAAGCGGATAGAGCTGGAATTGTTGGCAGCACTCCTGATAGTTCTTAATGGAAGTTTTTCCTAAAAGACGTTTGATAAAACACATTTGTATACTTTCCAGAGATACACTGTCAGATTTCCTCATGCTGCCACAAATGATACTGCAATATTCCAAAATGGGGCGTGAGTATTTTAAAGGATTCTACTCTGGCTGGGGTAATGTGAATCGTATGCAGTATATTAACCACTGAGTTTCTGGTTCTAGCCAGCTGGTATTCCACTAGTTCGGAAAAGTTGAAAGTGTAAGGATATCTGATTTCGAGGTTGCGGGTAGACAGCTGTACACAAAGGTGTTCGTCCTTGAGTGTAATTGATCCTTCGGGTACTGAACAACCACGATCCATAATGCTAGCTTTTTTGCCGAGAACTTCATGATCCACGTGTCACACCATTTCTCAAGGGAGTGGAGGTCTTCCTGTATTAGCAGTAGTGTATCTTGGAGTTCAGCTCGTCGGAACTTGTAGACTGCCTTTATGTCATCTGCAAATAGGAAGGACATGCCATGTCCGATAAACGCATTGATGTCATAGACGTAGAGCAGGAATAGTAACGGCCCAAGTACCCTCCCTTAGATAACACCACTAGTGATTGAACGTGGTGAAGAGTGGTGGTCCGCTGTAGTATCTGCCTGAGGATGGCCACTGATGTATGACAATATCCAGCCTAGGAGTGGGTCCTGGATTTCAAAGGAAGCGATCTCTTTCAGCAACCGTTTGTGGGGCACTCGATCGAATGCATTTTGCGTGTCCAAGAATAGAAGTATAGTTGCTTATACTAAGCCAATAGAATCCGAAACATGGTTTAGATATTGCAGTTGGCAGGTTACGCACGCTCGCTTTTCCAAGAAACCATGCAGCGACCTGTCGATCAGCTGCAGCGAATTGATGAGCTTCATCACACCATTCTTATCCAGTTTCTCTAATAACCCGGTTAATACAGAAGTGTACAGTATCAGCAGGTAATCATTACTTTTTGTTTAGAGCCGCCCTTGTGACGAGGGATGATAAATAATGTATTCTGCTGGTCTGGTTAGTGGCTTGATAACAAGGAAATGGTAAACATGTCCAGCAATATCAACGGCAAGTCAGCCCCTCACAGTTTTATGACGGCAAGTGGGATACCATCGGAATCCAGCTAAATAAATAAATAGATAAATAAAGCATTTATTATCGATAAGGCGAGGCACGCCTTTACCTGATTATTTTGACATAAAAATGCATGATCAAGAAGGTTCAAAAATCCGATATGTGTCCCATAACAGTGTATGTTTGTGTAGCGGGGTATATAAGTATGTACTTGTGTGTGCCCCATGCTGAGGCTGATGTTGCATTCTTGATGCTTCTTCACCGCAGTTGGGCTAAACCAACTTACGCTTAAACTAGCTCTTTTTAAGCTGGATAAATTTCACTCCACTTTCTTTCGTTTGTTCCGCCTACCTGAATAATGTTCTATTAACTGACGACGTTGCGTATGCTAATTGCGCTTATCTTCGGTAATTTTGTTGAGTTTGTAGCATATTTAAGTAACTTGTGGACATTTCTTACTTATCGCGGATTCGTTACTAACCGACTTACTTCATATGGTAAATTAGGGAAGAGTTATGCCACCGTATCTGTATACATCATTGGATTTATTTTATTTCAGCTTGTCGTTCCAGGTGATCGGCTGCTGCTTGATATCCCCGGTGTGGCTGCGCTTGATGTGTATGTTGACAAAATGCCTACATGTCTATTACCCACTACCTCGTTCATACTGGCTCCAGGAGACAGTTGGTCGTTGCTGGAGGGGACGGGATGCACGGTCCTTGTAGCCGTGTTAGGCTCAAAGAGCGGTTCCATGCACTCAGTGTGGAGCGGACTACGGTCCAGCCACCGTCTGGTGTGCGGTTGATTCCCCAAATACAGCGTGCTTGTGTTTGCCTGTGAAGGAGTGTGGGCCGGCTCCGTTGATGAAACGTGGCGCCCATCCACATGCCTCCCGGTCTTATTCCTTCGGGTTTACACTGGATATGGGGTTTGTGGTTGGAGCTGTGGGTGGTGCAGCGCAAGCCATCCATGGTCTCTCTGTAGGCGCAGGCGTCCTGCGGTTGGCCACAGTGACAGGCAAATCCGAAATCGGATGCCGCCAATCATGTATTTATGTGTGCCCCATGCTGAGGCTGATGTTGCATTCTTGATGCTTCTACACCGTAGTTGGGCTAAACCAATT